TTTTTTTTAAAACAATGAATTAATGCATCGTACTTTATATCTAGGGTTTTAATAACGTATGTTGGTCCCTCTTTTCTTAGGGTACTGTTCCAATTGTCTAACCTTTTTTTCAAAATTCACTAAGATCCCACTTTTTCCGCAAAAACGATGCACGGTAGTCCTTTTTTAAAAGGTTTAATACTTATTTTTGGCCCTCTTTTTTCGTAGGTCTGTTCCAATTGGTCCCTACTTTTTGTCAAAAAGTTCCCTATTTTGTCCCTATTTTGATCCCTCTTAGTGACCTTTCGTATTTTGGTGAGCTGTACTTTTTCGTTGAGGTGAACTTTTGAGGATCAAATGTACAGCGCACCAAAATACGAAAATTTCCCTACGAAGGATCAAAATAGGGACTTTGAAAAAAGCTAGGACCATTTGAACAGACCCTACGAAAAGAGGGACCAAAATCCGTATAAACCTAAAAACGTACTAACGTTCATCGTTTTTTTGCGAAAAGTTTGGATCTTAGTGACTTCTTGAAAAAAAGCTTAGGACCAATTTGCACCACCCCCCATAACGAAAGCGGGACCAAAATACGTTTAAACCTTATCTCTACTTTTTCTCATTTCTGTCTAATGTGAGACTTAGATTCGTATTTCTAACACTAAACACCCAAAATTCATTATTTGTTTTCAATTTTTTTCTCAAGCACATTCTAAAATAATAGTTTATTATCCTCAATTATTAAATCTTATGTATCCAATAACCAAAACTTATGTGTGCAGAGGTTCTAATATACCCAAACATGCTCGTTTTATCATGTAAAGAAACATTGTTGAATATCATGAATTTTTTTCTACTAGATATTATTTTTTGTCATGGAAGAAAAGAATTGAAATCGAAATGACTTAAACATGAATTGTAAATTACTGAATTTGTAATGAGCTTTTCAAGTTATCTTAACACAAGAAAATCATAAACAGAAAGCAAAATTTTCATGAAATTGAAAATTCTAAACACATCACGAAGAAATAGTTAAATGCACGGGGAAACTAAATTAACTTTGGAACAAAACTTTCTTACCTCTTCAAGCAAAAATTTGGTGTATCCTTGCAAAAGTCCTCTGAGAATTGATAGAGACATTTTTTTTTCTTTCTTTTAGAAGAAGTGAAGCTATCTCGTTTGGAGAACAATATGTACGAAATTTTATAGAAAATTTATACTTCAATGAAATATACTATATTCATAACCTATATGATACGTTTGCAAATAAATGAACTATACAGGTCAAATTATTACTTCATTACCTTAACTCAACATGAAAATATTAAAATGTGGTCAAGGTTTTCAGGGACCTTTTTTTTTCCCTTGTCTTCTTCAAAATGCATTTATTCAAGGAGATGTTAATTTATTTACGAAAAGAATGAATGAATAAGCATACTATAAGCTTTAAAAATAATTGTGGGATAAAATGAAGGATTTTTTTTTTCAAAAAAAGAAAAATATTAAATACTAATCAACAAGATTTTAAAATTGCCAAAGGTCACAGCTATAATCATTAAAGTAATTTGGGGTCATGTTCATAAGTGTTTTTAAAATATTAATTATAACAGGAGCCGATGTATTTAATTTATTTAAGAATAATATCTCACAGTCTTTAAAAGACATACCTAATATATTTTAATATAGTAAATGTATTAAATTAATGAAATGGTAACTAAAACTTGTATTGTAAGTATAATTACACTTTAATTAGAAAAAAATGGATTAATTGTGTTTTCTTTTCAAACTATTAATTAAAATTCTATTTCTTTCCTTTTTCAAAATATGTACCAATTTCATCTTATATTTTTAAAGAATGTACAATATTATCAAGACAAAATATAGTTAATGATATTAGAGTTTTCCTTCCTCTTTTATCTCCTTGCAATTCTCTCTCTTCTTTACAATTCTTTTTTAGCTAATTTTTTTTAAAAATGAAATGGTATAGATTTTTTTTCACTTTGCATGTATAATCTCCCCTAATATTTTAAAGTTGAGATAATATTCCATAGTAAAGAAGTTAAATAAAATGAAGGATTTTTCGATCATATACTATTATGTAAAATTGAAACGTGCTTACTAAACTTTATGTTAATCCTTCTCGACATCCCTATTGGTGTAGGAATGTCTGAGAGAGGTCCTGTTTTCTAAAGTGTATCAAAATGGTCCTGAATTTTCAAATGATATCAATTGAGTCCTTTCCTTAAGTTGGCTGGACGGCGTTAAAAAATTATGAGTGGATCTAGATGACGACGAACGCTCGTCAACAGCGTACCGAACGCTTTGTCCCCAAGTAAAATTTTTTAACCTTAAACAGAGGTGACACTCACAGGGAGCATCCTAGAAGGTCACCTATCCTAGAATTACTACAGGCCAAGCACGCTTAACCATGGAGTTATCATGAGTTAGACTACCGAAAAGTAAATGCATTTTGGTGATATGCGTAGCCAAATCAATCCCTTTAAGATATCCTTCAACTGTATAGTCTCATACCTACACAGTCTCCTCCAGAATCCCTCTCATTCCGGTGTATTTCGATTCATCATGTACCTCCTTCCACTCGAAGCTGCCAGGAGCCGCTCCTTGTCTGTGTCCCTGCACCATGCTTCTTGCACCGGCGTCACTCCTCGCCCTCGTCTCAGTGCCTGGGTGTCACAATACGCACCTCAACCAACCCCACTTTAATGCCCTCCTCTACCTCTGCTCCAACTCCGTCGTCGACGACTTACTAAAAAGCTAAAAAAACCCCTGACTCGAATTACGGTATCCGCGCCTTTCCGCCACATGTCCCTCTCATTCGGCCGTCGTTTCGTTCCTCATAAGGCCGCTGTCCTACGTTGCAGGCCTCGCTGCGGCCAAGGGTGACGCGATTATGCCTTCGAGTTGTGAATGATGGGGGCATTGTCCAAGGGTGAACAACAACGCTACCCGAGGCTGCGAACCTACTATTCTGCGTTGTTTTTCCTGTTTCCTGTAATGCTAGACTCGGATTAAGCCTACGAGTAAGGAGCACATGACTGGCGTTGGGGGTGAATTTGGAGGAGGCTGGAACTTTGCCAGCGCTTTTAAAGTGAGTGCGCGGAGGGTAGAAGCGGACAAGTTTATGAGTATTTTGCCTAACGTGAAGTTTGTGGGAGTGTGTTTAGTGAGTCCACTACGGTGGTTGTTGAGGAGTGGTTTTGTGGTGGCAAGGCCTCTGAGGTTGGTGAGGTGGAATTTGATGTGGGGCAGGTCAAAGAGCGGGTATGGCGGAATGGGGGAGGATTTGGCATGGTCAGGGATGGATTGGTAAGGGGGATTGGGCCGTCAACAGAACGAGTGTTGGCGTCGTTGGACATTGTTGTTGTTGTGGGGAGCAATTGGTTTGTGTTGATATTGATGATTCGGAGACGGAGAAGTTTGCAGGGTCTGTTGCTGGCTTGGCCTGGAACGGAGGTCAATGCCCAATTTTTAGTGAATTTCAGGTGTTGTTGATATCTCCATTCATTGCAATGCAACACAATTTTAAATGACATGAATGATGATATATTATTGTTAGAGTTTTGTTTCTGTGCTAGGTAGGTATCAATCAGGAATCTTGATGGGTGTGACTTTTTAGGGGTGTTATTGTTAAAGTCAACAAACTTAGTATGCATGACAATTTTTTATTGGATTACTTTCGTATACAAACCCTTCGCAATATTGCTGCATCCATTATTTACTCTTGATATTGTTAGTCTAGCTATACTAGCTTGGTTTTGATACTTTTGGTTGATCCCTTCAGCCTGGCTTGAAAAGCAGACTCTTATGAAGCTATAGTGGATGGAGCAAATATCGGTGATCACAAACAAAATTTTGCAGATGGTGGATTCGATTTTTCTTAGGTTGTATTCCTAAGTTATAGAGTTTCCTTTAATTTTACTGTCTGAACAAGTTATTATGTCTATTGCTCTTGCCTCATAATTTTACTTGATTGCTTTTGCAGCTAATTGTGTTTGTTTTGTTGATTTTGTAATAGTGCAGCTTGCTTGTGTTGTAAAAGAACTTTACAATCAGAGTGGGAATAAATGGCCGCTCGTTCTGCTGCACAATAAGCGGCCTAAGAGGGCTAATGGAAAATCCTTCCATCAGGAAACTGGTGGAGGAGTGTATGAATAATGGTGCACTGTATGCGCACAATAATGTTCTCTCTCGGCGTCGTTCCCAATGAGGCCTCCGTCACTGCCGTTGCGCGCCTCGCTGCGGCCAAGGGTGACGCCGATTATGCCTTCCGAGTTTTTGAAGGGCAGTGCAGTACAACAACGCTCCCCCCACCCTACAAACCTAGACCCAACCCCCCCCCACCCCCCCCCCCCCCACTATCCCCCAACCCTTCCACCCCCCCCAACCCAGCAAACCCCCCCCCTAACTATAAACCATCACCCGCACCCCCCCCCCAACCCCCACCCCCCCACCCCACCCCAATAAACCCCACCCCCCCCACCACCCCCCCCCCCCCCCCCCCCCACCCCGCCCCCCCCCCCCCCCCCCCCCACACCCCCACCACCCCTACGCCCCCCGCTAACCACCACACCACCCCCCACCCCCACGCTACCACCCCCCCACCACCCACCAACCTAAACCCCCCCCTACCACCCCACACACCAAACCCCAAACACCCACCCACCCCACCAAACCCCACACCCCCCCACCCCCCCCCACGCTACCCCACTCCACCCCCCCCCCCCACCCCAACCCCCCCCTAAAAAAACCCCACCACCCAACCCATACCCCCCCCCCCCCCCCCACACACCCGCGGCTGCGAACCTACGATCCTGCGTTGTCAATTTTTCGGTGAATTCTATACGCGGATCAGGCCTATAGGTGAGGAGCACATGAATGGCGTTGGGGTGAGTTTGGAGGAGGCGGAACTCGCCGCGCTTTTGAAGGTGAGTGCGCGGAGTGGTAGAGCAGACAAGGTGTATGAGTATTTGCATAAGCTTAGAAGCTGTGTGAGGTGTGTTAGTGAGTCCACTGCGGTGGTTGTTGAGGGGTGGTTTTGTGGTGGCAAGGCCTCTGAGGTTGGTGAGGTGGAACTTGATGTGGGGCAGGTCAAAGAGGGGGTTTGACGGAATGGGGGAGGGTGGCATGGTCAGGGATGGATTGGTAAAGGGGATTGGGCCGTCAACAGAACGAGTGTTGGTGCCCATGGACATTGTTGTTGTTGTGGGGAGCAATTGGTTTGTGTTGATATTGATGATTCGTAGACGGAGAAGTTTGGAGGGTCTGTTGCTGGCTTGGCCTTGGAACGATAGGTCAATGCCAATTTTACATACCTAAGTGTGCATTAGGCTCGCTGGTGAAAAAATTTATTGTGAAAATGGTTTCATGTAAGGGTTGTTTGGGCGGACATCCAGTTGTTGTAGTGAGTTAACTTTTAGTACGGTGATATAGTACAGGACCTATAGAGGTTTTCAGTTAATTTATGTCATGAGAATGATCTGTTTATAATATAATTGTAACGATATTAGAAGTTAATATTAGATTGGTCTATGCATGTGAATTGTCTAAGGATGATGTACATTAATATAAGGTGGATTAGTCTTGAGTTTATTTTGTGTATGTATTGGCGTATGAATTCAATATAAATATATCATGATACTTTAATAACTATTAAACTCATAAAGTAAAATTAGTTATATGATGAAAGTAGAAAGAGATCATAATATAAGGGATTTCGTAGGACTTATGACGGGGATGGACTAACATTGTGTCTGGTAGAGTGAAATCCATTGATAATAGCTTTGGCAAAGCAACAAAAGTCATCATAAAGTGCCACACTTACAAATAAAATACATTTATCCACTACAAATTTAAGTTTAAAAACGTCTTTAATTGTATGTACATGTTGTTTATAATTGTTTTGATTACTTTTGTATCATTAAAATGTTTTTTTGTAAATTAGTGTTACCTCGAGGTTTGTTGGTGGTGTTGTTTTTTGTAATGACCACTTTACTTGACGTGAGTAAATGAAATGCAGGTGGTAAAAAACATGGGTTGTGGATGAAAAACTAGATATATAATTCATTATTTGATGTTATATTATGTTAGGCATAATTTTGGAATAAAACAACTTACAATGTTTTGTTATATTATTATAGTTTTAATATTTTAAATGATTATCATTAATATACATCATCAAGTATATGTTGTTTTAATATTATATGAAAATGTTTAATATATATATGTTAGTAATAGATGTGTATTAAACAAGAGTGACATTTTGTGGAAGTTGGAATATTGATGTTTGATTTAAAATTAATGTTATTCAAAATATATTTGACTGCTTAATAGTGATTTTTTTAACATAAATACCGAAGTCACTCATATTCTATTAAATTCAATGGCACTCAACATATAAAGTAATTAAAAGGTTTAATCCTATACTACATCCTATTTATGTACGAATGTCTTAATTGGGTCCTCGTTTTTTTCAAGTGTATCAAAATGGTCCTTAATTTTGAAAATTGAATATCAATTGGAGTCCTTTCCGTTAAGTTGCTGGACGCGTTAAAAAAATTGATGAGTGGATGTTTGAGATGATGAACGAACGTCGTCCACCAGCGAACGAACGCTCGTCCATCAGCGAACGAACGCTCGTCGACCACGAACGAACGTTTATTCCAGTGTGGAACGAACGGTCGTCCAGAGTAAGAGGTCGAAAGCGTTCGTTCTCTGGTGGACGAGCTTCGTTCTGCTGGTGGACGAGCGTTCGTTCGCTGTAGTGGACTAGCTTTCGTTCGCTGGTGGACGAGCGTTCGTTCGTATTCTCGCATCCACTCATCATTTTTTTAACGCCGTCCAGCCAACTTAACGGAAAAGGACTCATGATATCAATTTTTCAAAATAAGACCATTTTGTACCTTAAAAAACGAGGACCATTTTGAGACATGACATAAATAGGATTGTAGTATAGGATTAAACTAAGTAAAACACCACTTCCTCTGCGTCTAGCTTGTTTATTTTACTTTTTTTTGCCCTTTTTCTTTTGGACCTCTATTAGGTCGTCAATGGCATTGTTTTACTCGTACTATATAACACGCGTACGAAGGAAATAGTAGGAGTAAATAGTTATAATAATAGAGAGATAGTTAGTAGATAGATAAGTTTAACCCACACTAGGGTGTAAGTAAGTTTAGGTTAAGGGTTTAACGGTTCAGTAACCATGAACTAAGTTAAGTAAGGTTAAATATTGTTTTAATAACTATATTATGACCATATAAAAATATATTTAATTAAATAGAAACAATAAATATCGGTTTGTTCAACAAATGTGATCGAGGGTCGTTCACAATGGCTTTATTGTAGTCCTAAGAATTGTCAAATCTGTTTATTGGTGTGCTAATGGTTTCTTCTCTTGATATATAGTCTTCCTGTTCACGATGCTTAGGTCGAAGAAACACCGACTGTTTTATTTTTTAAATTTTTGTAATTTTTCGTTCTTTAGATTTTAATAGTAAGACTTTCTTTTTAATTATTTTTTTTTTACTGTGATCGATTTTTTAGTTTTAATGTTGTTGTTAGTTATTGCGTGACGACTGTTGATGGTTGGTAAATTATTTCTTTGAAATTATTAAGAGGAAGACTGAAAAATGGACATTTAACTCTATAAATAAGGATTTTAAATTTTATACGACATCAATGAACTCGAATAAAATATCTTATAAAACTAACGTTTATATGATTAAATTATAACCATGTTAGAAATTTCCTTACAATAAAAATAGAAAAAGATGGGTAGCAAATGAATAAAACAAGGGGTAAGGGTAAGACAGTGCAAGGAATTGGACAAAGATGGAAGGAGATTAATATTAATTAACGTAAACACAGAAAAACAATATCGATGTTAGTTTAATGTAGGAATGTAATTAAGAACAGAAAAAAAGTGTTTTAGCAAGCTGGAACAGTGCAGTGTCCCAATCATTGCATGATAACAGCAAATGCTTACGGGGCGAAAGTGCGAACTGCAAGACCCACTCTGATTTTATTGCATCATAATCTAACTCATGACTTGCCAGTTGCCGTTCCAGCTGGCCGAAATAACATGCTAAAGTTTTGAACATTAACGTGGCTTGTCTTAAACTTCAGCAACTTTATTATTGTCTTTGAAAATTGGAAGGATTCCATTGTCATCAAACCTATAGAGTGCCAGAGAAAATATACTTTTGCCAACTAAGCACAAAAAGTCTATATAATTCAGATGGCTTATAAAATGGCTAGGCCACAACCAAAACCCCAGCTCAATTAAAATAAAAACATGTGGACATATATGTAACAAATAATTGGAGTATATTTAATGATAATTATGGAATCTAAATAATTTAGCGATTGTATTTTTCTCTTCGGAAAGATTATATTAATTTTGGATCGGATCATTTTAGTTTTAGAAAATGAACTCCAATTAAAAAAATTAAAAAAAGTTTAAAGAGAAACTGTTTTGATAAATGGCAAAAATCACTTTTAAAAATACAATTTATATGTGACGAAAAAAAAAATCTACAAAATCCGTACGGATAACATGTACAACCGTTGTTGTAGCATTAAAAGCTTAATTTAAGTTGTTAGTTCACGAGTATTTAAGAATAACTTCTTACCGAACGTTATTTATTTTATGCAAATACAATTTCATTCATGCGAATTTTAACATTTGGGGTTACAGTGTTAGCGTAATAAACATTCCAATTATTTATTTATTTATTTATTTCTATCTATATATTCTATATACGATGAATAAAGAATGCATAGAGGTACATTATTTGCACACGTGATTCCATTCCAAACCGTTGGCTCAAGCGAATGTGAAGCCATTAAGCCACAAAGCTTAGAGGGTGGAGCTGTTGTCGGT